CAAGAGCTGGTCTAGGACATAGTCTTGCTTGGGGCTGTTTTTGACAGTGACATATTCTGACATCTTGTCATCACTGAGAACCTCTTCGTTACCTCATGCCATCATGAAAGAACCAAAATATCCTCAGAAACTTATTTGCATACCCAAATTTATGCAGATGCCTCTGGGCTGCTCATGGCTGGCAGTTCTGGAGTCTTCAGATAGCTCTGCAAAGACCCAGCAGAGACTTTGGCTTGTTTTGAAGCAGGACAGGGCTGTAAGCCAGAGCATTTCTGCAAGAGCCTTTTCAACACCCTCACCCACAAATCCACCGATGTCATTGTGACACGTATTTTTTTCAGCAGTTAAAAAAGTCAATATACCTTGGTGTCCCTGCAGGAGTGTTTTTACCTTTTTCATTGTAAAAGGCACTGTGCATCTGTCTTCTTGAATGCCTTGAGATACCATCTCTTTATTAGGTGACAGTGGTGAACTCCAGTTTTCTAACTACTTGGTGACACTAATTATGTGCAGTGGTAGGGTGTGAGCCTTGCTCTGTGGCAACTGCTCAGTGGCTGTAGGAATCTCTACTCCCTGGTTTTGAATGGGAAGCAGAGAAGTGGTTTTTAACTCTAGCAGAGCTGAAGAATGCAAGGTTTAAGAAATTGTTGAGGTATTACAGCAAGGCATCTGCAATTTTCCTTTGATCAGCTAACAGGGTTAAAGTGGTTTTGAGCCACGGTATTTGTAGAGAATCTTGTCATTCCTGTAATCTACAGCTTTAGAAGCCTTTTCTCTCTTCTTTCAGTAGGCAAAAAATAGACTTTGCTTCTGATTTCTGCCTGGTTTTGTGGAAAGCAGCTTTCTTGCCTGCCAGTTTTAATTTTTACCTTAAGTTTGTTCAGCACCTGCATGTCAGCAGTAATCTGATGGACATAGCCTCTACATTAACCCAGTCTTAAGATCTGTATTCAGCAAAACCAATGAGTTCGGTTTAAGATCTCATTAAACTCTCTTTGAACCTTTTCACACTGTGTTGACATCTTCTGATTGTTTTTACAGTTAAACTATAGTGACATCTGCCTTGTCTTCATGCCCCTGTGTCCTCTTCTGAATTTTATTCAGTATTTGTAAAGGAGCTTTGTGTCAATGAACACTGCCTGACTCATCTCTAGCTGTCAATCAGATTTGTCCTCAATGCCCTCCAGAGCTTGGGTCCCTCGATGCCCCCCATGGTCTGAACAGTCTAGTTAATATAATCATGCCTCCATTGTAGGCTTCTGTACTTACTCAGATCAGCCCCCCAAAGTGCTCTAGAACAATATTCTGACCTTTAATCTTTAGTGTAAATCCCTTGTAAATACTTTGGCAATGCAGATATCAGTGGATTTACTTAAGATTAACATCACTACTAAAGAGAGTAAAATCTGGATAAAAAGAGAGTTTCAGCTTTTTAAAAGTTTGTTTGGTAAAACACACTGTGCTTCATTATTGACTAAAGAATGATGCATTTTGAAATAGTTTGTTGTAAAATCCAAATCTGTGTGTACATAGCTTTTATATCTTCTGTTTAAAAAGAACCTGATATGTGATAGAGGAGCACATGTAGAGGATATGCCTTTTACAAGTGAAAGATTTAAGACTTACAAAGTCTTTAGTACAAGAATTTCCATTTAATTTCAAATCCAACCCTTTATTTTCTCATCAAGTTGTCTCACTTCTATCTATTATGAGCTGGGAGAGAGAAGGAAGGAGCGAGGTTGGGCATCTAGAGAGTACTACTTGTTCTTCTTCATGCATGCTTTCCCAGATGGAATAAATCCACCCTTGGATATGTTTACAGAGAGCTTCTTTTCCTTCCTTGACTGTAGAGGAGTCTAAATGACTAAATTAGCATATGACTTCTCCTGTCTCCTTACTCTGCTCACTTCCTCCACTCCCAGGCTTGGTACATTATCCCCCTCCAGCTGATTATGTGCACACAACTCATTCCTGCTTTTAGTCTTTATGCTATGTGGCAAGAGGTCACTCCAAGTCTCTCCTGAGTGCCCCAAAGCAAAGACCTCAGGGGGATTTGGAACCGAAGAGCATTCATGGGTTTTCCAGCATTGCTGCAGCCACTTGTCCAGAGGGGCATGCTGCTGAGGGAAAGCCACAGCAGATGCTGACAGTGCCATTGGGCAGACCCCAGGCTGGCTGGGGATGTGCTGAGGAGGTAGGCTGCTGAGAAACCCAGGGTCTTTATTTAGTCAAGGGTGACTTGATAAGCAGAGACTTCAAGGGAGATTGACATTGTCTACCTTCAGAAATCTACAGAGCAGATTTCTGCATTTGAATTAGTCACTGTAGGCTCCTTTCCAATGACTGCAGAGAAACGACCACTTCTTAGGAGAGATTTTTGATCTATTTTAGGCACCTTTCATATGAATTGCAACCTCAAAGTAACTGTTTTCCTGCCGTGACCATACAGGGTGCCTAGGTGGTTTGACATCAGCAAAAAATATGGTAAAAGCACAACTCACTTCAAGGAAAGGCAGTAAAGTACTTGAATCATAGATTGATTGGGAGTTACTAAAAAGGTAAGCCTCATCATAACTGAGCTGAAAAGATTTAGGAGCTGGGAAAGAAACTTTGGGGATTAATCCAACTTGCCCCCCATTTCCTTACTTTTCCTAAACCCATGCCTACTGCCTTTGTTGGATCTTTAGCTTCATCTGACACAGTATGACCACTTTTGCAATCTTATACCATCTCTGATGTCTACATCTCCCCTTCAGACACTGATAGTTTATCAAATGAGTTGTGCTCACCTTGTGCAAAAATTGGAGTCCTGGGCAGTAAGCAGTATATGCTCTTGGGCATTAAACTGTGGTGTAAGTAAATAAATGAAAAATACTATTCTAGTAAAGTGGTGCTGTGAAACCTGAGGAATAGAACTAGTCTTGTGTAAACCAGTAGCATCTGGGTTTTTTGATCGTGGGTCAATCTACACAACATAACATCTGTTGGTGACAAACGGGGTACTTCTGTCTCAGAGGGGGAAAGGATCTCTGCACAGTAATTAGAAGGGCTCATTGGAAGAGCTTTAAACTAGATTTGAAGGGGGAAAGAGATAAAACTATTATTAATAATTAGAGATAAGCCTGGATGTAGTAAACCAATGTTTGATGAATGGTGTGCTAGCAAGTTCCTTCAGTCTGCTGCTACAGTGGCAAGGGGACAGAGATGGATGGAGATCCATCCAGCAGCAAAGATGCAGGTGTTATTGTATGTTAGAAATCACAGAAGCACGTGAAAATGGTCATGCAGAACTTAGGGCTTTTACCCCCAGAAAAGTGGCAGGATCAAAAGTGCAAAAGAAGTGCATCTACTCCGATGCATGCAGCATGGGCAACAAACAGGAGGGGCCAGAAGCCATTGCGCAGAAGGAAAATCTATGGTATAGTTGCTGTCATGGAAACAGGGTGGGAAGACACACACAACTGGAGTGCTGCAATGCATGACTATAAACAGTCCTGTCAGCCTGACCTCAGTGCGAGGGAAGGTCATGGAGCAGATCATCTGGAGTGCCATCATGCACCATGTGCTGGACAATCAGGGGACCAGGTCCAGCCAGCATAGGTTTGTGAAGGGCAGGTCCTGCTTTACCAACCTGGCCTCCATCTATTACAGGGTGACCCAGCTAGAGGATGAGGGAAAGGCTGTGGAGGTGTCTACCTGAGGCCATTGACATAATTTTCCACAGAATTCTCCTGGAGAAAGTGCTTATGGCTTGGATGGATACCTTGTTTGCTGGGTAAAAAACCGGCTCGATGGCCAGGCCCACAGAGTGGTGGTGTATGAAGTTAAATCCAGGTGGTGGCCAGTCACTAATGCTGTTGCCCAGGGCTCAATATTTGGGCCAGTACTATTTAATACTTTTGTCAATGATCTGGAAGAGAGAATTGAGTGCACTCTCAGTCAGTTTGCAGATGACATCAAGTTGGGCAGAAGTGTTGATCCACTGGAGGGTAAGAAGGCTCTGTGGAGGGATCTGGACAGGCTGGACTGATGGCCTGAAGCCAAGGGTATGAGGTTTAACATGGGCCAGGTGCTGGGTCCTGCGCTTCGGTCACAGCAACCCTTTGGATTCCTCGAAAACAAAAACTCATCTACCTATAATTCCAAAGTAATCAAGGACCCAAAAAAGGAAAAGGGGTATGTCAAAACAAAGGGGAAAAGATATTTCAGAGTGCCTCCTCTTCTCCAGCACACTTTAAGTGTTATTACATATGGAGCATATGCTTGGCCTCAAGGGCAAGGGCAAGAAGAGCAGAGAAGTGCTTTTTAGTGATTGCTCAGACTTTCAGCAAAATGCAAAAGAGTGTGAACCTTGCAGGTGAGAGCATTCACTGTGCAGGGAAGGGAAGATAACTGCTAAGGGAGGGCATTAACCTGCTAACGTGTGTTCCCCAAAAAAGCAAAAAGCCCAAGGAGGTGAATGCTGCAGATGATGCAAAAGCAGATTGCTGCCATGGAGGGACTCTGGAGCCCCAAAGTGGATTCTGTACACCTTGTCCTGCACAGAGGAGAAAGCTGTTGGAGAGAGTATGGCAGTGGAAGAAGCATGATTTTGGGGGGAAACTTTGGTGTTGGTGTTAGTGCGCACATATTAGCATGTGCATCTCAGTCTAGAAGTGTACACGGAGTACTTGTACATTCTGCATCACATAATCTTGGTCAGACACTTCTTTTTGTACAACACTTTTCTTTTTTCTTTTTTTTTTTTTTTTTTTTTTTAATAGCAGAACTTGGTCCACCTGTCTTTCCCATGGGAGCTGTGGCATGGAGCCTGCAGAGCGCCACTGTGGCTCCCGCGTCCCCGGTGCTCGCAGTCCGTGAGGCGGGCGGACGGTGCGGCGGGTGCGGGTCACGGCCGAGCGGGGTGGGGAGGGGAGGGAATGGGATGGGAGGGGGCGCTGCCGGCGGGAGATCGGAGTCGGGCCCCGGGGGCGGCCCCGGCAGGCGCGGCCGGGCGGGACGGGACGGGACGGGACGGGACGGGAGGCGGCGGAGCCGGGAGCGGGGAGCGGCCATGGGGAAGCTGCTGGTGGTGGCTCTTGTCGGGATAGCGGCAGCCCTGGCGGCGGAGCGGCTGCTGGCCCTTCGGTAGGAGCCTCCCTACGGGGTTTCGGAGCGGTGCGGGCGGTGCGGGCGGTGCGGGCCGGGGATGGCCCGCGGGTGGGGGCACCAGGCGGGTCCCGCCGCGGGGCTGAGGCGGGCGCGGCTGGGCGAGGGCTCCTCTCACCCTTCGAACTGGCGGACACCGCAGCTCCTGGGCTGGGGCTCGGCTTCGGCGGACACCCGCCCCTGCACAAGTGCAGTGGCAGCCAGAGGGGAAGGGTTCTTCTTCATCATCACCATCGCTATCGTCATCATTTTCAAGGGAATCGTTTTTCCCCGGAGCAAAACTAGGCACTGCAATGCCCTTTTCATCCTCTTTCTTAAAAAACTAACTTCGGGAGCATTTGTGCAATGGAAATGTCCTTTGTGGTACAAGATTGTGAAACTCCCTGGGAAGATGCTGGGAACCAGGAGGCCACAGGGAGAGGGTGCCCTAGGGCAGGGGACCAGTACCTCTGTTTTTAAAGAGGCTGCAGTTAACAGGGATATATCAGACCCCAATACCTGTGAATTTATTTCATCTCCCACCAACTGGCCAAACAGTAAGTGGAAATCAGTTTTTCAGAAACGTGTGTTAACTTTCTACCAAAACTGACCTCTGGATAACAATAGCCCCTGTGTACATGAGGTTTCCTCTGATGGAGCACAGGCTTCAGTGATCCTAAGGTGTGACCTCGCTGCAGCTGAAATACCCAACCATATCATGATCCATATCGTACACCTCATGCCGTGAGGTGTGAACACTGGTGTTACAGCAGCTTCTGTCCTGAAAGCTTCCAAACATGTAACTGGTCATTTCAGGTCAGAAAAGTGAAGGTGAATTACTGTGTTAGAAGGCAACTACATCATTATAATTTTGCTCATGTCCACAAGGACTCCAAATGCCCCATTTCAAATCAACAACACCTAGCTAACTCAATTTTGCCTAATTGTAGGTAATTACAGAAGCAAGGCTATAGTGCCTGGCCCAGGTATCTTGCATAGATGTGTTTTCATGTTGCACTAAATCCACCTCAGGCATTAGTGATAACCACAGTGATAGAAGAACCCTCCTGCCCTGGTGTTGCACAAACTGGGATGGCAGAGCTGGAAAACATTCCCTGGCTTTACTGGGGTGAGACATTTCAAAGTGCTGTAGAGAGCAACAGTCCCCACATCTCCTCCAAATCGAATGAACAAATGCAACATTGGGAATCTGGTAAAGGATAATCTCCTGGTAGAAACAGGATCCCCTCTGTTTCTGTAGCTCTCTGTGGGTTTTACCTGTGTACTGTGTTTTCAGCAAACTACAACAAAGCAGAGGTCTTAGGACAGTTGCTGAGTTTGGAAACACACAATTTCAGTTCACAAAATACTCTAAAAGTCATTAACACAATGAAGAGAAACAGCTGGTAGTTAGTTCTTGCTATGTGTTTCTGTTATCCATTTCCCAACCAGAAGGCAGGAATCAAGCAAAGAGTCTTTGCAGTTCCTTCTGCGTTTGGTATTTTGTGGCATGTACAGCAGAAAACAGGTGAAGTTCTTGTGCGTTACCAGCTGAAATTACAGTGATTCTCCTACCGACGTTTTGAACTGCTTATTCTCAGAAGAAAGTGCTGAGCTAATTTGTAAAATGTGAATGTGAATTATATAATTATATAATGTGTGTTACTGTTTTCCTCAGAACGATATGCATATGATATTGTTCATGTATATTTATATATACACACACAACGTTATCATTTTGTAACACTGTACCCATAGGGGACTCAGCTTGCATGTTATCTTCAAAACAGAAGCCTACTTCCAGAAAGATGCTGACAGTTTTAAAAGAATTAGGAGCAAAAACAAAAATAAGAAGTGATTTTCAATCCTGTCCAAAAAAACCTTCAAAACCAAAATCCAAAGATCCAAGGTTGGAGTATAGAGATGAGGAAAACTGAAAGAGAGGTCTTTAAATATGCAACAGGTTCCTGCTGAAGGAAAGACCTATGCTCTGCGTCCAGTGAAGTGGGAAAGCAGGTGGAGGACTGAAACTGGAAAGAGAAACAGAGTGGGACAAGGTGCCATGCACTGGGGTTGCCCCAAGTAGCAAAAGTTCCTCATTTGTTTTGAAGTTGCATCCCCCACATATTACAGCCTCCTGTGTTCTTGGTACGGTCAGTTAGTTATCTAGGCCATCTGGCTGAGTGGCTCAGGCTGTGTGAGCTAGATAAACCGACACATTTTGGAAAAGCCTCTATAAGTGCTGCAGGCTTGTGACTAGTGTCCTTTTGAATTACTCTCATTCCAGACCATGAAGTGTTTCCCTGGGAATGCTGTCAGGATATCATCATCCCTCTCTGGCTGCTGACTGAGTTCCTGCTGTGCTTTTGGCTGAGGGTGGCTTGCAGCCTGCCTGGGAAATGCTGATGAACACAGGGAAGGGAAAAGCTCTAAGCAGGCAGCAGTGCAAACTTCAGGCAGGATCGCCTGAGCCACCCTCGGGTGCTTGGTGGGTTTGGCTGTGCCAAGCTGTCGGTGGGCAGTGGGGGAGCTGATATTGCTCCTGTGCTGTTTGTCAGCTGGGAGCCAGTGCAATTCTCTGTCAGAACTCCTGGGCTGGAGAGAGAGGGCTTGGGAGGGTTTAACTTGGCCCCTTTCCCTTACTGTCCTCTGCACTTTTTACCCCTTTTCTTCTTTTCTTTTGGCGTTATGTTAACAACCTATGTCAATGATAAAGTGTTGAAACAACTTGCAATTCATATGTTAAGTGATTAAAAACATGCAGGACTGACATATCATACAGTGCTCACATATTTTTCATATCACTGACTGATACTGCTGTTTAGTTTATGTTTATGCCTAAAACTGTAACATAAACATGGCAAGTTTTTGCTATGGGATCTTTGCATTCAGAATTTCCTGTGGTTGGAGCAATAGCCTCAACACATGCATATGATAGGCACGCAAAGGAGTAACTATGTTGGGTTAAATGCTTTCTTCTGGGGACAAGAAAAAAAAAAGGGCGGGGGAGAAATATTCTAGTACTCTACCCCAACATTTTTATGTAGAAACACAACACATTTTCTTAGGGCACTGCGGACCAGCATGGTCAAACACAGCAGTCCTGGTTGTGAGGTGTCTTTCATAAAGATTTGCAAACAACTTGGAATGCAGTAAATGAAGAAACAAGAACTCATGTAGTTACCTGTCTGTATCTGCTTGTTCAATGAAGCATGAGCCAGAGGCTGAGTTTTGTGGGCATTCGTGGATGAAGTAAGCACTGCTGAAGAGTGATGCTTGGAGTATCAGGAGAGAAGAGGAAGGGACAGGGTAATTGCTGAAAATTGTACTACCAAGTCCTGTTTGTTGTAAGGAAATGAGTACTCCTGCCTTGCAACAGTGCTATAGCTACCTTTGAATGTGGGCTACGAAATGAAGAAGGTGCAACTGCTGATGGGTTGGTCACCAAAAGCAGCCATTAGGTTGGAGCAGAAGGTTGCCTTCTCCTCATCTGAAATGCTGGTCCTAACTGTGGGATGCTACTATATTTAAGTGACTGAAACCTAAAGAAAATTTGCTATCTTATTTTATTGCCTGAGCTGTGGTGGGCCATAAAAGCTTGTTCCTGATGCTCATGAACAAAACCAAGTTTCTGAAATTACTCACTGTGGAACAACCATTTAATCTCTGGACATGGGTAACTATCACAGTGATTTGCAGCAATTGCTATTGTCAATTCTGGTGTTTGCCTATTCAGTATCTCATGGCTAATTTGTCGCTGTGATGGGTTAGACAATAAAACTAAAAACTAGGAATGTTACCTGTTTTAAAACTGTCTGTGTGCTGTTAACCCTGCTCTTTTCTCTTGCAGGAACAGACTCAATGCTTCACGGGAAGTAGCCCCAGTAACGCTCCCGAACTGCCAGCTCATTAAAGGAATCGGTATGTGCTTAAAATAACTGAGTGCAATTGGTTTTGTTCAGCCTTATTTTGAAACAGCTTCTTAAAGCCAGCTTCCAAGCCTGATCCCAAAAACAAAGTGCTCATTTGACTTTCATTTGTTACATGGACTTGGAGGTAGGGAGAAACTGCAGGAAGAAAGTTGTGCTGAAAAACTAGTTTGGTATAATGCTTTTTGCCTTCAGTATTTAAAGTTTCTGTTCCTTTTCTTGAGTACCTTTCAAACACTTCTCCGTTGCTGAGCCACTTAGGAAATGATCTGGCTTTTAGGTGAGTGAGGGCATGTTGGCTCTTCAGGTACCTACAGGTGTCTGTCAGCTGGTGACATCTTGAAGACAGAACGTGCTGCAACGGTGCAAGATTTTGGAGAAGGCCACAGGCGTATGGGGAAGGAGCGGCTGCTAAATGCCAAGCAGGATTGCCCGCCTTAGTGCCACATTTTGTGGAGATTTAGGAGCTGGCCGGTACCGCACAGTGCCACTGGCAGGCAGGAGCTCAGCGTGGTTGTGCAATGCAGCTGTGTGGTTTCAAAGAGCAAGGGGTTATGTTTGTCATCTTAGTCTGGTTTGCACGGGGGTTTAACTGAGTGCCTGAAATGTTGACTTTGTACTTTGGGTCATGTGTTTAGCCCACACCAGTGTTTCTCTCTTGTTTGTTTTTGGTTTTTTTCTCTCTAGTTAGGATAACCAGTGTATAAAATGGATAGCTTTGAAATTGATTGCTTTTTTGTGCCTCACTTTCCCTGAATAATAATTTTTAAACTCAATGTAGGCTTAATGGTTGGGGATTTTCCCCTCCCTACTATTTTCAGAAATATCTTAAATTCTTTTGGAATTTGCCTGGATTTTGCATGTGTAGAAAGGTCGTTGGATGAGCTTTAACAGCCTTGCCTTTGAGCTTGCTGAGTCACTGAGTTCATTTCATAAATCTTGCTTCTTCCTTGTGTCAGGATTCAAACATCTTTGAAAAGTCAAATTACTGCCACAAATGAGTGTATGCTGAGTTCATTTGCCTGAGGTTATGTACAGAATTGCATCTGAAAAAAAATTCCAGGTCTTCTAGATTGAGCTGTAATTTACTCATACAAGATTCTGAATAATGCTTTTTGGATGGTGATTAATGTAATTCTTTTAAGTATTTCACTGTTGCAATCTTAAGACTTTTTTGCAACATGATTGTTGTGTTGAGGAAAGAGGGAAAGCTGGAAATGAAAAACAGAGTTGTGTTCCATTTTTAACAGTATTTCACTTTTGGTGCCTGACATTTACATGGAGATTAGGTAAATTCTGAGAACCCATCTCTGCTTGGAGGTTGCAGTGGATCAATTTACAGATCTTCATTTATGCTTCTTCTTGTCCTCCTGTAACACTGTCGCTTTGCTGTACTCAGATCTGTAAGATTGCTCCTGGGGGTGCCTTTGTGTAAGGATGCCTTTTTCCATGGACCTCTTGGCCTCCTGAGCCTTTTTCCTTTAAAGTGCTAGGATAAAGTTTAGTAAATATTATGTCTTTATTTTAATGTTTAAAACAGTCCTTCTGAACTCTTAAGCGACACATAGGTCCCAGAGCTGGATCAGCTCTGAGTAAAATAATCTTGAGCTATCCCCTTTTCTTTCTGCACAATTTCATCTTTTCTGTATTTCTATTTTTAAGACTTTGATCTGTTCTGCTTTTCAGATATTGTGCAACATAAGCACAAATGCAAACACTGAACAAGCCAATAAAAAATTGCAGCGTGTCCTAAACTTCATTCACAAATACATAGGAAAGGCTGTATTTGCAGAATAAACAGTAGCTTCTGATTTTTATTGGTGCCTAATCATGTTACTGGTTTATAATAAACTAACCATATCTCTTGTCCTATCCTAAAGTTCAAGAAACTGCAATAGAAGTTGCAAGAAATACTTTCATCTTGGAACAATTCCTGGGATGTAGGCAAAATAGTCTTGTGCTTTTGGACATGAAATCCAGATGGGGTTTTTATTGTTAGATACACCTGCAGAATACATCAAACTAAGATAAAGAACAACAAAAAGCCAACATTTCTAGAGTAGGCATTAATTTTTCTCAATATTTGTTAATTTTTTTAAAATGCTGCCTGCTCAGATAATCGAATGGACAAGGCAGGCTCAGTGATACAATTAAGCAATATCCTGCAGGTAACTGATACCTAATGGATCAGTTCCTAACTCTCTTGTCCCATATAGTGCCTGCAACAGCCTTCCCAAAAAGGGGCCTGCAGGAGAGCCCGTGAGCTTCTCTGGTCAGCTGTGTCTCCATCCCCTCACTGTCTCTATAGTGCTGGCTCAGCAGGGTTGCGCTGAGTCAGCATTTCACTGCTCTTCTGATGGCGCTCAGTCGCTTCCACACATACCAGGACCTGGCCATGAAGTGCCTGAAATGTGCTTTGCTGGGCACTTTCTTCCAAAGCAATTGGGTGGGGCTCTGAGCGTGCTCCTTCCACCGGAAACTTGTAGTTTTTAATTATCTGCTCCCAATTAGCCTGCTCATCTTTCTGCTTGGCAGCCTCACTGATTCAGTAGCGATAAATGATTATATCTCTGTTTATTCACTCACCAGTGTGTACTGCCAGTAAAAGCAGTCTGTCCAGCTCATGTCACCATGGCAATTGAGCCTCTCAGCATTTATTTGTGCTTTTTTCCTCGCAGCAATCCTGGCAAGTGGAGAATCGCCAATAACCCCATTTTATAAATTAACCCAAACGTGGAAAGGCTGAGGCAAGGGAGTTTTTGGTTTAGACCAGAGTATAAACCAAACCAAAAAAAAAAAAAAGCCCCAATTCAAAACTTTAATTGGAAAATACAGGCTCTAAATGTCTCTGGACACATCAGTGCAGATATCTGCTTCCTGCCTGAGCCCAGTGAAAACTCAGACAAAAACCCAGGGGTGGGGTAACAGGCTGGCTTCCCCTAAAATGCATCTTCAGACCTTTTGCTCTTCAGAAAGCAGGGATGCTCTGCTTGTTGGAGTCATGGGGTGGAGCAGGGGTTTCCTGAGGCTAAGAAGGTACTGACCCTGGCCCTCAGTGAGAAGTTGTGCCACTGCATCTTCCCAGAGCTGAGCTGGGGAGAAACTTTCCTGGATGGGTGAACTGGGGGTTCTCGTTCCTATCCACAAAGGCTCTCAGTGGTCCCGGGATAAATTACAGCCCAGCCAAATCAGTGCCAGGATAAATAGGAGTTACATAAAAGCTGGAATTTGAAGATGCTTTCTTGGGAGGAGGTGTTGAGGTGCCAGGGATGGTGTGACCCATGCAGGCTCACATGTGTAGTCTGTAGCAAAGTAGGAGGGGGTGTGGAGGCACGGGACAAGCTGGGTGGTAAATAAGCCTTGTGTTGGTAACTCTGTTAAAGAAAACGTACAGAAGAATTTTCTTTAAGCAGATGCTCCTAAGTGGTTTCTGTAATCATCTGGAAAGTGACTTGTGGGGAATTCTGTTTTTGCTGGTGATTTGGAGAGGAGAGGGGAGGTTTCTCAGGGGAGTGGTGGAAATGTGGGATGGCAAACAGGCTTCAGCTTTGAATGAAAAGCTCTATGGAGAGTGCTTGATGAAAGCCTAAAATTGCTCTAGTGTCCTTAGTAAAGGGCTTTTATTTTATCTTCTTTCCTACCAGAGAAAAAATATTACAGGATATACAGGAACTGGCAATATTGGAAATGATTACCTGCAGTTAAAAGTGTGGTCTAACTATTAAAGCCCTTAGCTGTTGTAGACACAGTAGGTTCTCTGTCACTCAAGAGCTTTAACTAAATATTTGGCAATCCATTTCTGTGGAGTGTCCCAGCTCAACCAGGAAAATCAGTGTGCACAATTCTCAGAGCTACCTCATGCAAGCCTGAGGCCCGAGTCATGGGTATGGTCCTGCCCTGGAAATCTCGTTGCCCACACTAATTGCTGCAGAACATTGTCCTCAGAACCTGGTGATTCATCCCACCCTGTCGGGTGGCACATGGTGAGAGTCTGCCTGGAGACTGCAGGGGCACCCCTAAGCCCCCAAAATGAAGTGAGCTGCAGTGCTATTTCCTAACCTGACATGCTCTCTTTTGCTACCGCTTTTAATGCAACGTGATCTTTTCCTCTGAACTTCGTTGCGTGTGCAGTCTTATCAGAAAGGTCATTCATGAGAGCTGGAATTGTACTAGAAAGGATATTTGCAATGGAAAATATGTCACCTGAAAACCCCTGTTTATCTTCTTGCAGAAGCTGGTTCTGAAGACATCGACATACTTCCCAATGGACTAGCCTTCATCAGCTCTGTAAGTGCCCATGGCACCTCCCCATGCAGGGACCTGCTTTCTTCCTTACCTGTAGAAGCCTAGGTGAAAATAGCAGGAGGGACAATTTTTTCTACAAGGCTGGCTGGCTCCCTAAGAACAGCCCAGTCTTGTGTTAGCTTAGCTGTCATTCCCTTGTGCTTGAGCAAGTGCACCAACACACAGAGGTGTTGGTGGCTCTGACACATATATATTACACTGACTTATCTGCCCACGTAACCTTGGCTTTCCCTCATGCTGCTTCACTGAAATGTTGAAATGTCAATTCTCTGCCATGCTAAGAAGATGTCTGAATTCCGAAATTAGAAAAAAAATCAGATTTTTTGGGTTGATTATGTTGTTCCTGATATTTTTTTTAGCCTTTAGGACATAGGTTTTCCACCTTTCCTCTGCAATCAGGATGGCAGGTGATCCTTTTCTGAAACAAAAGCTGGTGTTTTCATCTATATGTTCCAGGGACACCCAGGGAATGATAACTTTGCAAAATTCGTGCCAGAAATCATGCTCTGTTGCACTGCTGCTGTTCCCTATGGCTTTACCATGTTGTAGTGGTGCCTGGTTCGCCCACAGTGTCAGTTTGTAGAGGGGTTTGGCATACGGAGTATGGCTGCAGTGGGGGCCGTGGTGTCTTGGGCATGGCTCCTTGTGCCCTCCATACACTTTGCTCCCTCTGCACTGTGATTGAGGGCTTGCTAGGGAGAGCAGGGCCAGTCCCTCCACCTCCATCGTGGCTCAGCAGGCTGAAATGGGGACATCTGATGTGTTCTTGCAAGTCAGAGCAAGACTCCAGCATTTTCAGCCCTGTGATGCTCCCGTTTACCTTTTATTTCTTATGTTTTGATTCTATAGGGCTTGAAATATCCAGGATTAACGAGCTTTGCTCCAGACAAACCAGGCGAAATATTTTTGATGGATTTGAATGAAGACTATCCCAGGGCAGTGGAACTGAGAATCAGTCGAGGGTTTGATCTGTCGTCATTTAACCCTCATGGAATCAGCACCTATATAGACAAAGGTAAAGAGCCTGAGGTTGTGGCAAATATTGTCCCAAAGAGCACAAACAGAAATCCCTTTGCAGCACCCACAATAGTTTGCTCTTGCTAGGAGACAAAAAGGTTTTGGGGTTTTTTATCTTTGTTGGGCTATTTTCTAAATGTCATCTGTCAAAGGAAACACCCTTGCACATAATCTCAGTCTGTCTGAAACAGAACGATGTCCTGTACATTAAAAGGAAAGGAAACATGGGAAAAGTTTGAGTTGAAAACCACAGAAAATTTATTTTGCCAGTTTACACCTGTATCACACTGGGTTCAGGTATTTTGAGGAGATACATCCTTCACCACCTAGTAATTCCCAGAGTGGAAACTTTTGTGGCAGAACAGTAATTACCAAGTCTCTGTAAATTACCAAAACCTCTGTTATTCTTTGGCCAAGCCAGGTTCTCTTCTCCAAGACATACTCTCCTGTGTCAGGTTCTGACTACCAATAAGGTATCTTTTTGCCTGTCTTTTCACCGGGGATTTAAGCAGGGCAATTAGAAGCCTGCAGATATTAAGAGAACCATTGCCATAGCTTGGCCTGTGTCCCCATAGAGTCACCCTTCAAGGGAAGGTGTTGGAGAAATCAGTGGTGGCTCATTCAGGGTCTTACCAGAAGGGCTGGGCAGAAGGACTGCAGGCTTACACAGGGTACAGGAGCTCGTTCTGCTTTCTCAGGGGATGTAATAAACAAATCAAAGAGCCTGAACTAGCTGGGCCATAAAGCCTCCTTCCAGTTGACTGGGGCTGTTTCCTGCAGTACATGGGTACTTGTGCATCTGCCTCTGAAGAGCCCTGAGACAAATGCACCAAACTTGGCATGTGCTCTGTACTAGAGGCTGCATCAGCGCTGGGGGTGCTCAGCCACGAAAACTGCTGCAGAGAATTCAGTTGTTTCCATTCCTTTTTTTAAGATGACACCGTGTACCTCTTTGTTGTGAACCATCCCCATCAGAAGAGCACAGTAGAATTGTTTAAATTTGTAGAAGATGACAATTCTCTTTTACACCTGAAAACCATTCGACATGATCTTCTGACAAGGTATGGGACCCATGTACTGTCTTTCTCCAGAACAGGCTGCTTTGGTGAAATCCAGTGTATAGTGATTTTTTTGTTTTGTATTAATATGTGATATTTTCTCTTTAACCAGCATCCCTGTTTCTCTTATTGATTACTTCTTATCTATGTACTCAAAAGCAATGTTTCTCCAATCTCTTCTGTAAATTAGATTTTCAATAGTTGTCCCACTAAACTAGTCTTAAGCGCTGCTGTGATTGATGCCAGTGAATTAGCTCAGCATCCATTTCTCCTTCTTTCATGTAACGCACTCTTAGATCATTGCAGATATGAACGATCTCCAGATGTTTTATTATTCTGAATTTGCTATGCTGTGCTGTAAAAATGAACATAGATTTAGCTTTTTCTTTTTTTTTTTTTTCCAATACAAAATTTTCTTGGTCTGTCCTACTGCAAAATGCTTGTAAGATAAACAGAACCAGATTGATAAAGTTGTCACAACATCTGCCTGTTCTCAGTTTTCCACTTGAATATAATGAAAAGAGAGGAGAATTTCCATGGGCTTATGGACAGGCAGCCAGATCTCCCGCTGATGCCCTATGGTCCTGTTCAGGTCTCAGCACTGCACAGTCCTGGCTCACTCAAGAAAAAAAAAAAGTAAAAAGGATCTAAATAGCTCAGTGTCTATCTGGAATACCATCTCTAATTGCAGCACCCTTATGTCTATGGGATGACCATGTCCTGCCTGGATTCTGGGCAGTCCTAAAATGTTTCTTCATACCTCTCATTTCATTATTTTATTTAATTTTCTCAATTTCTTTTTTTTTTTTTTAGTGTGAATGATATAGTAGCCATGGGACCAGATAGTTTCTATGCTACCAATGACCACTACTTCACCGACTTCATCTTGATGTTCTTAGAGATGTTCTTGGGTTTAACATGGTCAAATGTTGTTTACTACAGTCCAAAAGAAGTTAAAGAAGTAGCAGCTGGCTTTTATTCAGCGAATGGAATCAATATTTCACCTGATAGAAAGTAAGTTTCTCCTTACTTTAGATTTTGTTCAATCACACAAAAGAATCCAGGGATCCTGATTTGTACATGTTGTACCTCTGTGTTCGGGTGTCTAAGCTGGTTCATACAAGGCAAGGTGGTGCCTGTGCAGTGTCAGTGATACAGAGCGATTGCAGCACAGAGCTGTGTGTGTTGGTGTTCAGCAGCAGTGTTTGCTGCTTTGTGTGGTAGTTTATGGGCATAAGATCAAAGGTTGCTGCGTTTTAAGCAGCTGATACAGAGTTTGCGTGCGTTGCTTGCAGGGATTAACAGGGCAGAGTTTCTGCAAGTGGGGAACGTTCTACCATCCCAAACTCTGTGTGACTGAATCAAACAGTCCTGTGGTGTGGACAGGTGATCCTAAATTAAAAAAAAAAAAAAAAAAGGCGCAATTGTGGGTTTCTAGCTCCAAGTCCTATTTTCGTGTTGCAATAGAAGAACTGGCACAGTGTGAAGCCACATTAGCATCTCAGCAGATTGGCTTCATTTCAGTGCCCTGTGGCCTGCTTGCAATATCTGTTGCTGTGTGAGAACTGTAGGCTGATATTCCTCATGGGAAGAGCTGGGCTTGCACAGGAGAAACTGGTTTTCATGTCTTCTTACTCATATACATTTCTGAGAGATGTTTTACTTTCTTTTGAAGGTACATCTATGTTGCAGATATATTTGATCATAGTGTCCATGTTATGGAAAAGCACACTAACTGGAATTTAACTCACGTGAAGGTAAGGTGCTGCTGTTCTGTAAAAAAGAGACAAATGTGAATTTTGGACAGAATAGTCCCCATGAATGCTTGAGATGTCAAAATGATCATGTGTAAAGTTCTGGTCTGGGTGGCTCCTGCTGTGGGGTTGCAGAGGTGGTGTGTGCCCTGTTACAGAACTTCAGGTCTTCCACCCTCCCACCAGGAACCAGATAGGAATCCTTGGGCGTGCTGTTCAGCAACAGTGGAAGTCTGCCTCAGGCAGTGTGGGTCAGAGCAGGAAGAAGGAATCAACAAACATGGAGGTGTGAATGGGCTGATAGGGGAAGCTGAGAGTAGCAAGCAGGTTTCTCATGGCACAGAGGTGGGGATGATGCATACAAGGGAAAAGAAAAACAAAACTGAGGGAGAAAATATTTCTTAAAAAAAAATAAATCTAAGTTATGTCAGATGAGAGTCTTGGACAAGTCTATTCATTATGTTGTAGTTTACTTCCAGGATTTCTGATAGCTTTAACTTCTTGTTTTTCCTTTGTGTTGTATAGACGCTGCAGCTGGACACTCTGCTTGATAACTTGTCTATTGAACCTCACACTGGAGACATCTGGACAGGATGTCATCCCAATGGGATGAAGCTGTTCTACTATGATCCTGAAAATCCTCCTGCCTCTGAGGTGCCTTTTGGGAGACATCACTGGTCTCTTGGCTGTGTCTGTGCCAAAAAGTTGTTTTGTTCAAATCACCCTGGTATAATGTAGAGAGAAGTGCCTGGCCAGCCTTTATGAAAGCAAAGACCAAGGTTGCTTCTCTCTCAAGTGGAAGCCCGAAGAGCATATACTCACTAACAAACACATGTTCAGATCCTCAGGTGACAGCTGAGTAATTTCTACCCAGTAGCTCAGTCACTTTGGACTCCTCAGGCTGCTTTCTGTGCAGCTGTGGCCACACACCCAGATTCTGATGAACTGCCTTAATTACTGAGCCAGCACATCTTTGCCAAACTAAACATGATTGACTGAGTGCACAGCATGACCAGAAACGTTTGCACAGTAATGATTAATCTGTGCAAGTGTGATTCATCAGGAGGTGACACTGTAATTCTTCTTTCCTTCTGAAATCAATGAGGTACTGGCCTCAGGGTGATAGTGGCCACAAGTGCAGCTGGATGGTTGGTGTCCATTTGATTTCAGCCTTGTCTGAAGTGCCCTGTAAGACACTTCTCAAAATTACCATGCTCAATAGCAGTAGATTTATGATACTAGGCAGTTGTTTACTCTGTCTGGAAAAAGCATGAAAATAAGAAGATATTAACTAATTCTTCAGCAGGAAAAAACTGTGCACATTCCTAGTAGTGGGGAAGACTGCCTTCCTTACAGATGTGGGGTCTCTGTTGTATAACCACTTAAAAAAAAACCCCCAAACCAGTCTTCATGGACTGTGCTTCCCTGAAGGCCCTATCACAGGAATCACATGGCTGTAATTATCAGCAGCTGATCATCCTAACGAATTTGTTTAAGTTAACATGCTGATGTTCCCTCCATACATGGAGCATTTCCACCTACAGCCATTTCAGTAGATGTATCCTCCCCTTCTGGCAGGTTCTGCGCATCCAGAACATCCTGTCAGAGGAGCCTGTGGTGACCCGTGTCTACGCTGACAACGGCTCTGTGCTGCAGGGGAGCTCAGTGGCATCCATCTACGAGGGAAAACTGCTCATTGGCACAGTCTTCCACAGAGCTCTCTACTGTGAGCTATAGCTTGCCATGGGTAAGATCTACCGCGGCGGAAAGGATTTAATTCCTTGGGAACTCAGTTTCTGCTAAATTTGCTAACAAGAAGACTGTTCCAATAAAGGTTAACTGCAGTAATGGAGATGTATTTTAGCCTTCCTCTCCAAAATGAGACTTTTACGCAATAGCAAAGGAAATGGAACCGAAGGTGAGAAATTAGTTTCTTTTGTAATGAGGAGGACCCAATATCAGTAACAAAGGGTAACCTTGAAGTTCAGTTTCAGATTGCAGATGACTGAACTGTCAGACACAGAACTCATCTCTGCTGTCTGGATCTTGTTGTTTTGGTTTTTGTTTTTGTTTTTTTTTTTCCCCATGAGAAAACTGATTTCGTAAATAAGAATTCCTGACTACCAGTGTGGTGTGGGTTATGGTCACTGACCCCTGGGCCTTCCCAGGGACTGTGCAAGGGGGTCTTCTTCTGAATCTGCCTATTGGCTTTCCCTAATGCTTCCAAAATAACTGGAAAGGGAATAAATATTATTTCAGTTTCATCCACTTCCCCTTTCAAGTCATTTCCTAACATTTCTTCAGGCTCCTCAATTTTTCCTAATCCTACTGAGAAAAGAGTAGGGCATCACTTCGGAGTGGTTGCTTACTGAGTCTTCCAAAGGGAGTTTAAAAACCTTTTTTTACTCTTAAAGAGTGGGAAACATGTCCTGAGCACCTTCATTGAGGAGTGCATTAGCAATTACTGTTGTCTGTCACAGAAAAGGGAGCATTTCTGGACACTTTGCCACAGTGACTACCCCCGAGCCTTGGTCACACATGTTCTGTGTTTAACTTCCAGTCAATCCGGAGCCGATTCCCCCTGTGCTACTGTGCAGCAGGCACACCTTCCTGTTTATCCAGCATCATTACTGATAATATCTCACACTGCTGAACGGCCTGTCCAGGTTTCCATCAGCTGGTGTTTTTGGAGTAGTATTAGCAGTCACTTTCAGTGAACTGAACGGAATGTCTTTTGAAGTTGGAAATCAGTTTTGTGATTTTCTCCAGTGTGCACAGCAAGATGCCAGAAACCCCTGTTTTGGCCAACACTTGGTTTCCTGCTTATGAAGGGAGCTCTTCTGGCATTAGTGTCAATATCCTTACCCACAGAGTAGCTCCTGCTGCTCCTTTTGTCCTTCCAAGTTCCCAGCTGTGATCAGCCCTCCAGTTTTGTGAGAGATGCTGACATTCAGCTAAAAGTTCTGTGTTACCTGTGGTGGCCCTCCTGCAGAGGTGGCTGCTGTGCTGCCTGCACCTGCCTGCACTGGCCCTTCTCAGCATCTTGGCAGCCCCTCCGAATGGTGCCACCAGACAGACCTCCCCAGGGCCACCAGCCCCTCTGCATCCTTCATCTGATGCCGTAGCTTTTCCTCAGTGCAGTCCTTCCACCATTATATGAAGGAAAAAAGACAGGCTGCTCCTGAAGGGTGAGCCTGAGAGGAGAGAGAACCAATCCCCAGGTGCCAATTGCTATGCTAGCTTTGCTGTTCCCTCCTGCAGTCTGCTCCACCATCAGCCACAGCCCCTCCAGTCAGGAGAGTACATGGAAAGTCCAGTGCTTTGAAAACACAGGAGTGCTTGTGCCTACAAGACAGAGAAAACAATCCACTCTGTAGTGGCTCAAACACTGAGTCAGAAGGCAGAGTATGTACAAACCCTCCTCTGTCTGGATTTTCCCATTCTGGCTGAGGAGGCAGTAGTGCAGGTTGAGGTTCGAGTGAGCAGTGGCCCTGAAGAGCAAATGTGTATACTGACACCTCTTGGCTCCTGTGCCTTTCCTTTCTAACAAGCCTAATGGTTTTCATCCACTGGTAGAATTACCATTCCTTCCCTGATGGAAAGGGACAGCTCTAACCAGAGCAAGGAGTCAGTGCCAGGGCTTATGGCTGGGGCAGTGTTGCTGTACAGGAGGGACTGTGTCATCCCTTTTCCTGTGCATGGCTGTGGGTCTTGCCACATTATCCATCTCCTGCCCCCAGAAAAGTGTCTGCTCCACCCTGTGCTGCCCCAAGCTCACTGGCACAGACCCTGCCTGGTGTAAGGCACGTCCTTGGGCACAAAGACGTCGTGTGAGGTTGAAGAACTGAGCCAGTGGCATGTTTGGCTCAGTCTCTGCACCCTTCCTGATGTCAGCAGCTTCCCCCTTCTGCCATGGCAGAAAACTCTTTCCCATCCATGTACCAGTACAAATGACACATGCTGTGGGGGTTACCAATGGTTAGAAGGGGAGACTTGAGTGTTAGTTAACCACACGGCTAATTGACTTGTCTCTTGGCGGCAGCCCTGCATTAGCAGATCTGTGCACAAACTCATTCACAGCTCCTCTCCAAAATGCTCACAGTTGATCTGCAGACTTGAGGGCTGCCCAGGCTTCACTGTCTTCTCACAAAGGCTTTGGTGACAAGGACTCAACCATTTGGATCACATTTTTGAGTCTTGCTGACATGGTGTGCAGCCCTTCCACAGAGCAGAGCTGGCCTTGAATGAGGGCGACTTTTGTCTCATCCCTTTGCTTGTACTTGCCTTTGGCATTACCTAACCCTGGCTTTGCTGCTCGCTCCTTAGCAACTTCTCTCCCTGCAGGACACTTTCAGCTTCCCTTGGAAGTGGTGTACTTTCCTACAGGAACGTGTAATCCATTTTCAGTCTTGTGGAACAGATGTCATTCCCAGTGCCCAAGCTGAAAGGACTCCTCTGAAGGAAGTTCTCACAACAAGGAGAGGTTGGGCTATTAACTTTTTATGGTTAGCCATCAATGGCCTGCACAAGCATTTTAAAGTGGTTATTTTAGGACTCTGCCACTATTAGTTCTGAAGTGCCATCTCCTAAAGAGTTATATCATTCACTAGTGGCAGTAACACACTGAAATGCTGATCAACCACTCTGCTGGTCTTGGATTTACTCTGTGTTTGTAGAAATGCAATAGCCATTTCTCTCAGCAGTGGCAGAAGTAACCCGTAAAAACATTAACTTCAAATTTTATAGTGGCTTAAAACGTCTTCAGATGAGCAAATCTACACATTTTTGGATGTTGTCAAACTTCTATTTTTTGTTGGTTTCAGCCTTTCAGAAAATAAAGATTGTCTTTACTCATCACTGGCTTTTTTTTCTATTCTAAATGACTTCTATGCTGAAGGCTTTCCCATCGCTCTGCCTGCAGACTGGAGCACAGGCACGCATTGTGCCTTATCTTTTCTTGCAACATTTGAGAGGAGAGAGATTGTAGGTATCTGATGTGACATCCTGAATTTTAACCTGAGGTGAGGAGGACTGGGAGCCCGTTGCCAACCTTCTCTACAGGTTATCCCAGCCTCGCAGTGCAGAGGTGGGAACTGAAGCTGGACCGCCGCTCATTCAAGTGGTGCTTGGGCAGGACAGAGACAGCAAGAGCCATTCTGGGGTACAGCTTCTACCTCCTGGCATGACATCACCACTTCATAAACCCATTGGAAGCCTCAGTGCAGAAACAGCAGGTTACGTTGGGATTGAGAGGCCAGGCTTGAGCTGCATCTTCCGCCACTGAGTGGCGGAAGATGCAGCTCAAGCCTGGCCTCTCAATCCCAACGTAACCTGCACAGGGCCTCTTAGTATATCTACTTCAATTAAGATAATAATTTTATGGACTGAGGATTCTTTTTATCTGCTTGCAGGTGGTGGCCATATTAGTGGAAAGTAAGGTTTATGACTCAGTTGTTGGGAAACACAAACTGGGTTAGACAGATTAAGTGCAGAGTATTTGGCCTAGATTCTGCCAGATGTAAATCCGCTGAAATGACTACACAAATTGGACAGTCTGCACCCTCTGTTTTTCCCTTGCTTAATGCTTTACTAAAATCAAATAAATAAAGACATATTAAACATGTTCAGTAGAAGAACTGCTGTACTTCGAGTGTGCAAAGTGCCTGTTGTAACTAAGCTACACTTAAATATAAAATGGGTGAATTTTTTTATATACCAAAAGTAATCCAGGTCTTTTAAACAAACACTGACCAGTATCAGCATGAAAGCAGCCTATTTTTACATCAACCTGCAGCAAAAGATTGCACTTTACTTTTCATTGGCATATGAAAAAAGAGTAATTATCTTTCCTTACTTTTTTTTTTCCCACTTCCTTTTACATAATTACAGATTGTAAATGAGACCCACTTGGAGGCCTGTGAATCATGCCAATTTGGCCATGAGTTAGGATTAAAATAATCTTTGGCCAAGCAGAAGGAAGGAAAGAACAAGCAGGGCAAGGTCCACATCCAACCCCACCCCCCAGTCTGACCCATGCAGCTGTCCAGTTGTGCTTACCATTTAGTATTTCTTCTGGAATGACCAACAAATGGTCAGAAAAGTGAGGACTCGATACAAATTCTAATAAAGATTCAGGATTTCTCATTTTATTGCATTCGTTGTCTAACAACAATAATACTCATTGGCAAGAAATTTATTTACACTAACAAATTAAACCACAAGGCTTTGTTGTTTGTATTTAAACTGTAAGAAAACAAAGGGCCACCATGATGTTTTGTTTTGATGTCTCCCAATAACTAAATATTAACCAAAGTCATCTTGGGGAAAACTCAACAATCTAGAGAAGTTCATATCAACCAAGCACAAGAGAACAAGCTCAGACATGGCACTACTGTGTCCTTCATGCAGGTGATCAGACATCAAGATGTACAAACAAAAAGTTCAGGATAACATGCACTTCATATACATTTGATCTCTTTAAAAAAAGACAAGAAAAATGAAAAAATCTGGAGTGCAACCATCTCTTTAACCATATAAAAAGAAACAATGTAAGAAGCCAATTTTTACAGTGAGCACAGTGCATCTTAGTCTTTTAGCTGCCTGGTCTTCTAGCAATATGTGTAACACTTGTCAGTGACCAGTGAGATACCATCACAACATGACTGGGAAATATGAAAGCAGTTGTTCAGACATTAAATGTGCATGGGAAAGTATAGTCAGAAGAGGTTCACTGGGCACTCTCCACTTTCAAGCGGGCTGGTTATTCCTTATGTCTGGTTCCCTGTGATTCAGACACTTCCACAATGGGGCTCAAATCCATTTCCACTGGGGTCAGTGGCAAACCTCCCACTGGAAACCTGGTAGGAGGCCCAGGCTCCTGGTTTATTGTGGGTTGGATCCGATCTCATGAACTGTGAGCCCTCTTCACTCTGGAAGAAGAGACCTGCCTAACGCTGCAAGTTTCACAAACCCTACAGCTTGTTCTTACCACAGTCCACACTTCCCAAAGAAACAGGAAGCCCAAGGCACTATAGCCAAACCTTCCTGTAAGATGTGCATTTTTAAAATAATTACTTAATGGCGAGAGCAGAAGTACCAGTTAGTATGGCCAGTTAGGAGCAGAAAGCTCATTTTATATTGAGGGATTGGAGGGCTCAGTGTCACAGCTGAGAACTAAGGTGTCACAGCTTTGAAAAATCAGTTTTAGAAGTGGAAAAGGTACAGTGAAATCCATAGAGGAGGCTAACAAAAGGGACTGTGCTATGTGC